CTCTTGTAAATATTTTGTTCTTGTGAGCTAAATTTTGTAAACATCTTCCTTTTAGAGGTTTTCTTTGTTTGCACTTCTTTTCTTTGTAAAGGGGTTTTGGTTCTAGCTGAGCCTTTGAAAATATAGGGAGTCATGTAAAGGTTATCTCTTTATCCTTGAAAAAGAAAGAAAAAATTAGTGAATTTGTTGGAAAATCCTTAGTGAGGAGCTAAGGTAGTGGAGGTAGACTTAGTTGAGAAGTCAAACCACTATAAATCGTTGTGCAATATTTCTCTATCCTTTTAAATCTCCTTACTCCCTAAAAATTCTAAAAAATTCAATTCACCCCCTCTTGGCAAACTCATTCGGTTGCCAATCGAGCTTCATAATTCCCAATAATTGGTATCAGATCTTGACTCATAACTCTCAATACAACCGACAAAAAGATGGCTTCGACGTCCAGATCTTACTACCTTGAAGATTCTCAACCAGTCAACAAGTCATCGTATTTCAATGGAGTAAATTATGCCTATTAGAAGAATAGGATGATGCTCTTCATTCAAGAAAATGATCTAGGAGCTTGGAACTTAATCATGAAGGGTTACTCCACTCCACCCGGTGAGATGGATGATTGGAGTGATGGAGAGAAGAAGAAGTTCCAACTCAATTCTAAGGCTATGCACATCCTCTATTGTGCATTAGGCTCGGATGAATATGGAAGAGTCTCCTCTTGTTTCAATGCCAATGAGATATAGGATAAGATCTAAGTCACTCATTAAGGAACCGATGAAGTGAGGGAAACAAAGATAAGTCTTCTCAACCATAGCTATGAAAATTTCAAGATGAAACCAGATGAAGATATCAAAGCTATGACAGATAGATTTTTTGTGATTGTCAACGGTCTAAAGGGATTTGGACAAGTAATCCCTAATGAAAAGCTTGTGAGGAATATTATATACTCTCTTCCAAAGTCTTGACAATCGAAGAAGACAGTGATCATTGAGGCTAAGAATCTAAAGTCTCTCACTCTCCATGATCTGATTGGCTCTCTTCTCACTCATGATTTGATGGTGAAGGAATATGAAGAAGATGAAGAGAAGAAAAACAAGAAGAAGAATGAGGTAGGTATTGCCTTCAAATCCACCAATGAGAGCAATTAAGGTTCAAATGAAGAGGTGGATGAAGACGATGATGAAGAAGAAGAGATGGCCAAGCTCTTCAAAAGATTCATGACTTCTACGGAAGTGAAGCATGAATCGAGCAAAAAGAAGAGTCCTTCGGTGTGCTTCAATTGCCAAAGAACGGGGCATGTCAAGTATAAATGTCCCCTCCTAAAAAAGAATGGATCAAGCAATAAAAAGACATTTGTGGCAGCTTGGAGTGATGAAGATGACTCCAATGATAAATATGAAGTAGTCAACTTATGCCTTATGGCCATCGGGAAAGATTCATTGCTAACTTCTAACTCGAATGAATTAGATTTTAGATTCATATTCTTTTGATGAGTTACAAGTTGCTTACAATGAGTTGTATTTGGACTTTGATACCATGAATTCTAAATATAAGAAATTAATTTCAAAACTTAAAGTTGAAAATGATTTGGTTTTGAAAGCAAAAGTTGATTTTGAAAAAACAAAATGTATCTTTGAAAATGATTTAGAGATTTTAAAAGTCAAAATCAATGATTTAGAAAAAGAAATGTTTTATTTGAAAGTTAAGCTTGAGAGCTTAACAAAAGAAAAAGAATTAATTTCTAAAAACAACTCATTATGTTTAAAAATTGAAAAATGCTCACATTGCCATTTTCATGGTCGTATGGAACATATTTGTCCTTTAAAGAAAGGAAAACATTTTAAAATTAAACAAGTATGGGTTCCAAAAGGAACAAGGGGCATTGAAACTAACGTCCAATGATCCAAAGCAATTTAGATACCAAAATCTAATTAAATGTCTCTTGTAGGAGTGTGGGAGCAATGGTGATGAAAATGAAGATGTTCAAATACTCTAGCCACACTTGAAAATGAATAAGCAACCTCTAAGCTTAAAAGCCTTTTAATTTTGCATAATTGGTTGCTCATTTAATTTATGCATGCATGAGTTTTGATTTTAAATGATTTCATGTTTTCTATCACATGTATGTTAAAAAATGTGTTATGATTAACATTCTAAAGTTTTAATGTTTTTTCATAATTTTTAGTTCATCATAATAAATGTTGGTCAAAATTGATTTTAAATGCAAATGATATCTCTCTAACAATTGATATTAATTTTTCAAATGATTTGATTTTACAAATTTTTGACCTAAATTTAAATGTTTATGCATGTGGTTTAAAATGCAAATGATATCTCTCTAATAATTTATCTCAAATTTTTCAATGCATAACAATTTTGGATAGCTTTATGCACATACACTTAATTTCAACAATTGGTATTGCATAAAGTACATTAGACTTCGATATATTGGATTTCATGTGTTACTAACATGTTTGTTCATCTTTGTTGAAATTCAATTTCTTTTAAGTGTCATGTTTTTAAAAGTAAAATTTTGTTTGGAATGCTTTTAATAAGGGGGAGTTTTGAGTTTTCAAAAGATTTTAATGTCAAATTTAACACTTACTCTCTAATGTTATATTTGAACTTTAAAGTTGAATTATTTTTGATATAACAAAAAGGGGGAGAAGTATGGGTTTGAAAAATTCAATTTCTCAATGCAAAAGGGGGAGCTGAACATTTTCCAACAATTAGTATATTTTCATTAAATATTTTATTAAGAGGAAGTTTTGCCAAAAACACTTTTTTCAAATGTTTTGTTAAAAACTGATTTTCAACGTACGTAGTACTGATACTGTTCTTACAGTATCGATACTATATGAACAGTACCGATACTGTTCATGTGGTACCGATACCCTAGGTAAGAAAAATTTCGATACTCTCTAGATAGTACCAATACTACCAACATTGCTAAAATTCCAGAATGCAAAAATGGTATTGATACCCAAAAGGGTACAGATACTACTCAACATAGTAGTATCGATACCATAGGCTTAGTATCGATACCATCAGGCCCAACGACTAGTAACGGCTAGTTTTATTTAAAAATAACAAAGGTAGTACTGATACCCTATGTACTGGTAGTTTTATTTTGCAAAGAAAACATCCCCAAACGGCTAGAAACGGCCACAAACTCATTCAACATATAAATACAAGTTCAAGACACTTGGAGAAGGGTTAGAACACCTATCCAAACATTTAAACACAAGAGAAGAGTTTTTCATTCCTATTTTACTTTCTCTTGCAAATATTTTGTTCTTTTGAGATAAATTTTGTAAACACCTTCCTTTTAGAGGTTTTCTTTGTTTACATTTCTTTTTCTTGTAAAGGGGTTTAGGTTCAAGTTGAGCCTTTGAAAAGCTAAGGAGTCTTGTAAAGGTTGTCTTTCTGTCCTTGAAAAAGAAAGAACAAATTAGTGAATTTGTTGGAAAAATCCTAGTGAGGAGCTAAGGTAGTGGAGGTAGACTTAGTTGAGAAGTCGAATCATTATAAATTGTTGTGCAATATTTCTCTATCCCTTTAAATCTCCTTACTCCCTAAAAATTCTCAAAAAGCCAATTCACCCCCTCTTGGCAAACTTTTTCGGTTGTCAATCAAGCTTTATAATTCCCAACACAAATCTTTAACCATGTGTTTCAAAAAAAATCAACTAGATGAGTTGAAGTTCAATATAAAAACAAGGGTTCAACTAGGAAGCAGTAGAAGAATATCTTCGTTATATTATAGATTTCCACTATCATGCACCAGGTTTCATCTAAGGGATGATGTCGACCTTGTTGGTATGATTAAGACATACTTCAATCATTCTTTGCCTAATATCAATTTGTTTGTAGAGTTCACTGATCTCGAGCTTCCTTGTATGATTGAGGATGTTGCTTCCAGCTCGAATATCCCACCAACTCAAACAAATGACGAAGAAACAAACATAGATGATGGAGACCCATAAGCATGGTTCCGATTTGTACGTGAACGACAACAAAAAAAAGCATGGAGAATTGAAGAACTTAATATTACTTCTGACGAGTCTACTGATTACGAAGATTAAAACATCATAACAAACACTGTTTTATTTATGCTTTTATTTACTGTTTAAGGAATGTGTTAGGTTAGTTCTGTTTACGTCCTTAACGAAATGTATTAAGTTTGTTGTTTTTAACTTCTTAATGCCATGTTCACGATTCGTTGTTTTTGTCTCCATAATGTAATGTTTAATGGTTTAATTTAACGTTTATAGTTTGTTATTCTTTTAAACAAAAATTATTACAATATGTTTAACTTTTCAGTCATATATCAATATTACCGTTCGAACTTCTCACATTAAAAAGATAAAAACAACAACTGCATTTTAGTCTACACTAACTCGTCAACTTGAGGTGACGATTTTTGTAGATTTTTTCCCATTTTCTATTTAAAGTAAATAGTTGTAAAAAATATTATTATTTTAATAGAACTCATCACTGAGGTGACGAGTTTCGTATAAATTAATTAAATAATAATGACGGAATATAAAATAATATCCTTCGGAACTCATCATCTCAAGGTGACAATACCCCGTATATTATGAAAAATACCTTAGATCCCAAAATAATTTTCTGAAAGCTCTGTATACCAAAATTTTTATCTTGATTGGCCTATTGGGCCAAAAGAACCCAAGATAGTGCATTAACATACGGGAAATCCTTAAAACACACTACTTTGGAATTTGAGTTTATATTAAGAATTAATATCCATTCACATAATACAATTTTTTATAATTTTTCACATATTTAAAACTATTAGACGAATGAAAAAATGTTAAAATTAATTATTATTTCTAGTGAATTTTTTTATTAATTAATCTGAACCATCGATTTTTTATCCATCCAACAATCTTAAATATATTTAAAATTAATTTTTTTTACGTAGTACCATTGTATCGATTCCCTCCCTAATGTAAAACCAAAAGGCTAAAAGGAAAAAGGACAATTGGATGCTATGAACAATATTTTCCCGAATTTAATAAACCAAACCTTATCCCAATCACATTGCACAACTTTATGCTATGTCCCTTAGGGACTATGATCTCAGCTATTCCCACTTAAAAACACCTTTATAATTGACCCTTTCATTATTAACCTTCTTCATAGATCCTCCTCCCTCTTCATACTTCTTGCGCCATTTTCGGAGAACACGACGACACCGCATCTGCAACCGTCAAGAAGATCTTGTCATCACCGATCAAATTCACGAATTTCGAGGCCTCAAGCTTGACCATCACCACTGGTCCAGGATTTGCTAGTATAAGCTATACAACAACAATACAGGAGGTATCAGGTAAACCTGTAAAATCTACTAGCACTTTGTTTTATAAGGAACTTTTATACTAGATTGTTGTTGCACCATAATTACCTCAATATTCTTTTTCTCAAGACTCCTATGCAATTCCTCCAAGGCATGGATGCCACTGGTATCGATGTCGGTTATGGCTGCATAACATACATATATACAACATGACATTACGGAATCTGAGCTTGAAGTCTTAAACTGGAAACGAAAACATCGTTAAAACACCAGATCGAGAATTCTTACGAGACATCTCAACTATCAAAAACTGGATCGTTGGTTGACATGCAACTTTTGCTTTCTCTTCTTCATCCATCAACCATCTCAATATCCTGCAACAATGTTATAACTTTGAGCATCTTGATATAAATTGTTGTCTAGCTGATTCCGTCGGAATTCTAAAAAGCTGAAACCTGTACATACTAAACTTTTTAAGCTCATTATGCAGAGACATTTCACTACCCTAGCATTGAATCGAATTTAAATAAATCATCTAGTGCAATGAAAATTATAAAGTTCGATTTTTTCACTCATGTCACTGCAATTGCTAACTTTCTCCTCAAGTCCTCATAGGACTCTTTTAGCCACAACTCAAGGATTTATATTATGAGTTTAACTAGTTTCAATCAAACCCAGACCCAACAGTCTTGTTCTTAGGAGATTTGAGATTCCATATATTCTTGATTTCGTACCTTCAAATGAAATCTAAATCTGAGAGAAATGGCTGGGAAGGGTGTACCATACCTCTCCTTGACATAGTTAGAGTTGGAAAAGTAAATTGCAGAATCAACTATCACAATCAGAATCCCCGGAACTTTAGCTGTTTCCGGATATTGTAAGATATTCCGGTACACATTAGTCCTAGGGACCTTCCCTAGAATAGCCGTCCGAGGTCTAGTAACTTGTAAAAGGATTTTAGCAAAGGATATAGTGACCTGCAATAGAGTTTCGTTGACAAACAAATTTCAATCTAACGTAATTCGAGGATAGAGGAAATTTGGATAGCTGTGATCTTAGTGCTTACAGCAATGAGAAGGCCTATCTCAACCGACACAAATATTACTCCGAGAAAGGCCCCCAAGCATGCAACAAAATCAAATTTATCAATCTTCCATACCAAAATTGCTGCCGGAATATCGATAAGTCCAACCACGGCAGATATAATGATGGCAGCGAGAATAGCATTTGGGGTATATTTGAAAAGTGGTGTCAAGAATTCTAAAGTTAGAAATACAACGCATGACATAACGATATTAGAGACGGCAGTTTCACATCCAGCCATGAAATTTACTGCAGATCGAGAAAATGAACCTGCAAATGATGAAGGAATAAATCAGTAGTAGTATATAACAAATAAAATTATTTGACTTACCATCTTAGTTCTTACCGGTGGCTACATAGCAGGAAGTCATTGACCCAACGACGTTCATTGCTCCTAGAGCCACCATTTCTTTGTTTCCATCTAGCTGATAGTCTTTCATTGAAGCAAATGTTCTTCCAATGGCAACAGCTTCCTGTTAAATCAACCCAACAAAGAAGACAAAGGTCTATTTAGATGTGATTAATCGGATTTTCCTTGTTTAGCGAAGGTATATATAGGAAACAAATGGCTTACCGTCAATGCGATCATACCAGCCACTATACCAATCTTCAAACCTTTAAGAAGATATTCGCCACTGAAATAAATCTGATCTACTGATGAGGGATTGATTCCTTTCTCAATGTTTTTCACCTGCATATATGACCAAACACTCATACTAAAAGACTGCAACTATTAGATTGCAATATGGTACTAAAAGATTTTCATGGGTTAAAGATGCTTACAATCTGGACCCCTTTCTTTTCGGCATGTGTTATATAAACAAAAAAGGTGGAGAGAATAACAGATATCAAAGGCGCTATGGCCGGCACCCAGAATAACTTCTTGTTCTTTTTTCCCTAGTTTTCAAAGGGTGTAAAGCTTAGGATATGCACATAAGGCCTGATATATAGTTTGTATCTAAGCGTAGAGGCTCTTACGATGTACTTGGCAAACAGGAGGAAGGATAAAAAGCTAACTCCGATAAGTATGGTCTGCCAGTTCCACTGCAAAAGTAGTATTTTATAGACTTAGTAACCCCGAAGTAGTTTTCGGATTGTAGCATGGGAAGATAGAGGGCTTCTTACTCCATGATCAATGTTTCCCCATACAGAGTGCATTACGGAAATAATATCTGTTTTCTTTGTAAACTTTTGTATACCGAGAAGACCTTTAAGCTGTTGGAGGGCGATTGTAATAGCAGCTCCAGCCATAAAGCCGATGATGGCAGCGTGTGAAAGGAAGTCAATCAAGAAGCCCAACCTGATTATGTGTTTACAATATATAGGCAAGTGAATGATAGAAGAAAAAAATTTATTGTGGCAATCAATATGATCAGAGAGTGAGATATAAAATCACCTGAGAAAACCAAGAGTGGCTTGAGTTATGCCAGCAAAAAATGTAGCTGTAAATGCAAGCCGCTGGTACTCGGCTTTGTGGCTAGGGTCAATCTCATTTGAAAGCATTGAACCTAGTAAAAGAGATACCACAGCGACTGGTCCGATTGCAATATCTCTGGAACTTCCCATGAAGGCATAAATCAGTGGTGGAACAAAGCTGGAGTCTGCAATGGTTGAAATAATAATAAAGATGATGGAAACCTTGATATAACCAATGGAAGGTGATTATAAAGAACATGGGAAACTTACAAAGTCCAAACTGTGGATCCAAGTTTGCTAGCTTTGCATAACCAATATCCTGTTTTCCGAGTAAATAAATATGAAAAGTACCGGAGGTTCCTTAACAATTTACAGTCTATGTATGTTGTAGGAGTATAGCAAAATTTACCTGAGGAATGCAGAGACTGGCAATAGTGAGTCCAGCAATGAGATCACCCCTGAATTTTTTCCAGCTGTAACTCCTTCCCCATTGGAAAATCGGGAAGATCGCCTGGATGCTGAGGACTAGCTTTCGAGACCTCGGTTGATCCTTGAAGGGACGCAGAGGATCGTCGGCAAAGAATGTTTCTTTCACCCTGGCAGTAAACTCACTCACAAGGTTTTGCTTAGGCGGAATTCCGACCTTGTGAAGATAATGCATGCCTTGTTGTGAGGCCGACTGGCTTCTATTGTCCATCTCTTTGGTTTCAACCTCCACATCTTTCAAACAAGACTTCGAATCCATGTCACTTATCTTTACAACAGCGAAACTAAGCCTTGTATAAGTGGATGGAGGTAGTAAGGAGAGGTTTAGAGACTGCAAACTCTTGTTAAACTTGGAAAATTCTTGTGAAGATCTTTGCTTATATAAGTATTGGAAGAATTTCAAGTCAAACTTTACAAGCTAAACGATGGAATTTAGAACCATAAAAAAAGTAAGACCTTTAAAAGTGTGTAGGAGTTTAATTTGAATACAGTTTACTGATATAATATCACCAGAATAAAAATCAAATATTCATCTTCACCTACTAAATTATCATAAGGATCACATCATTTTCCATCATCTAGATTTAAGCAATCTCCTGTATAATTGTAGCATTTAGAGTTAAAAATATACAGTTTGGAAGCACAAACCAGAAACTTTAGCTTCCACTTTCTCTGTCCCTTGTGTATTATTTTATTTCTAATTAATTATCATGAAAAGGGTCTATATGAAAAAAAAATACAAGCACAAAGAACTACTGATTTATGGAGCTTCTGCTAATATTACAGCAGGAAAATTACAAGCAGACAGCTATTACGAAAGAGAATTTTCAGTTTTATTTGAATTAAAATCATGTTTGATGTAATATTAAGGGTCCCATTTTGAAGAAAAACCCTCCAGGAGGACCCATTTGAAGAAATTAACCAATTGCAATCTCTGACTTGCAGTGCATTATTGGAAGCAAAAACAAGAGAAAATCTATTACCAATATCTTGGCTGCAATTTACTATCCCAATTACTGCTCAAATCAATGCACTATTTTGTCTTCTTGTCCTTTTTATTTAAAAAAAAATGAAGTCACTGGAAAAAATATGCTATAGCCAAGGTTTGATTAATTCATGTAGTAACATTTTGCTTAGAAAAGAACCCGGACAGCGTAGCGACCATTATATAACGATAAAGTACTGTCCGACAGTTATTTCATATCGGTAATATGATCGCAATAACACTTATTACTATTATTACAATCGTGATAAACATAACCCAAAACCCGACGAAAGTTAGAGAGGTAATAAAGGGTAAGCTAGCCAAGTGCATCTCACCTTCTTTCATAAACATCATATTGAAGCCATTGATGGTGGAAGACCCCACCCAGCTTCAAAGGCCAAAGCTTTACTTCAAATAGGAAATTTTAAGTAAACCCTAAAAATAAAAAATAAAAAGAATGTATGAAAAAGGGCAACAAAAGGGAAAGTGAGGTACAGTTTAAAAATCAGTTCAAAAGCTCACCTTTTGGCATCCCAACTCGATGGTCCTCGTCTTTCCCTGCTTTTTGTTGCTTCTTTTTTTATAAATACCAATATCACCAGGAACTAATTCAAATATTGTCCAGGTTCAATGAACCCTACGTTGCCTTCTTTTTTTACTTTCTTGCCATTTCTCGGGATTTCCCCCTTTTTTTTGCCCCCAAAAATATAGGAATATAAATTACTGAATGAATAAATAAATTAACAGCTACACTTGAGAAAATTCAAGTAAACGAAAAATGAAGAGCTTCCCCTCCAAATTTTCCATGCAACCAAACGTGGGCGTTTAAGAGATATCTTCATAGTTATATATGATCGAATGACGCAATTAACAACTCTGGATGAAAATTCAACTTACAAGTGGAGACATAGTGACCACGGAGAGCTTTTGATGGAATTGAATAAAAAAATATTCGAATTATTTAAGTTGATGAGAGATATTTATAACTCCAATTTTTATTTAGTTAAGTCGAGTTAAAATTATTTGAGTTTATGTTTATATTTAATTAAAAATATTTATAATTTTATGGTACTACTTGATTCCAATTTAAATGATTTTCTATAACATATATTTCTTTTTATTTTTTCTTATGTGATATATCATACAAAATTGTTGTAGCTATGAATAACAAGAAAGATGAGTCACCTATGTTGCATGGATTAGGGGCAGGTTGTTAGTAATGAGCAGTTAGTATTGATGATATGTTATGGTGAGCTGTCATGGTTGTTAGTTTATTCTAGAATTATGATTGTATGTAGGGACTTATAAATAGCATGATGTAGTATTGTTGCAATGCAGTGAAGCAAATGCAATTCTGATTTTTTACTGTATTATTAAGTTTGTTAACATGGTATCAGTCGCTTGTGCCCGGGAATCTGTGGGAGCTTAGTTTTTTTTCTCTGATGTCTACTCCTGCTGACTCCATTGGTGGCTCCTCTAAGTCACTTAGTGGTAAGGTATTTACCAATAAAAAGATTAGCATAATCCTTGATGATTTCAACTTCTTACTCTGGAAGCAACATGTCCTATTAGCAGTTAGGAGTCATAGGGTTGAGAAGCTTCTCACCGGTGCTATCCAACCTCCACCTGCTACGGTTCTTGGGGATGATGGGTTGGAAGTTGAGAATGAAGATTATGAGATGTTTATAGCTCAAGGTAGTGCCCTGGCGTCTTGGTTTTTTCCACTATCAGCTCTTCCTTACTTCTTTAACTTGTTGGAGCTGAGATCGTCGCTGATGTTTGGCAAACTGTGAATTGATTGGTTTCCAGTAAGTCTACCACCACGCTTATGAATCTCCATTACAATCAAGAAAGGTGAATTGGGGATGCGAGCTTACATTTCTCAAGTTAAAGAAAACACTGATGCTTTGGCTGCTTGTGAAAGTCCCATCTCCGAGTTTGAGAAGATTGTCACTCTCCTTAATGGTCTTCCACCATAATATCGCTAATTTATTGCAGTTATCACGGCCAGTCGAGAGCCATTTACACTTGATGGAGTCATTTATGTTTTGATCGATGCTGAAACTCAACAAAAAAAAAATTATCATTACGATATTGTTCATATGAGTGCTAATCTTGCTCGTGTTTCCCTTCAGTCCACATATGATAATCAACTGGATAATCACTATACTTCCAGAAGCTATGGTCGAACTCAAAATTTTAATGGTGGTCGTGGTCGAGGTCGCACTAAACTTCAGTGCCAGCTATCTGGAAAAATTGGTCATATGGTTGACCGTTACTGGTATAGGTTTGATAAAACCTTCAATGGTGTCTCTTCTCAAAGTCATAGAGGTCGTTCGAATGATCAGTGTCCAGCAGCCAATATATGTCACTACAAGGACAATCATGAATGTGGATGTGCAAATTCGATTGATGTGCAGTCTCCTGGGCCTGTTGGTCGGGGTCGTGGAGCTCTTAGTACTGACACAAGTACTTGGTTTGTTGAATCATGTGCTACTCACCGTGTAATTGCTGATGAAACTATTGTTGCTGATGGAACAGATTATGTTAGTCATGGTAAGTTAATGATTGGGGATAGTAAATTTCTTCAAATTTCAAAAACTGGTTATTCTTCATTACCCACCTCCTCTCCTTCTTTAACATTATTTCATGTGCTTCATGTTCCATCTATAACTAAAAATATAGTATCGTGTCAAATCTTGCTAAAGACAATCATGTCTTCTTGGAATTTCATGCTCGAGATTGTGTGGTGCTGTTTTATTGCGAGGGAATGAGGTTAATGATTTATACAAATTTCAGTCTAGTGCTCCATTGCTTGAAGGTTCTACTCCAAAAGTGTTTATTTCAAAAGGAGTTGGTGTTGATTACAGTATATGGCATGATCATCTTGGTCATCCTTCTCATGCAATTTGTTAGACTTGAGCAATATATGTACTGATGTTAATATCCTCGGTTTAAATAAAACTCCTCATTGCTTATGTGCTGGTTGTCAAATGGGAAAAAGGCATGCTCTATCCTTTCCTAAATCTATAACAGTTTACGATCACCCATTCTAATTGATTTTTACTGATCTATGGGGTCCTGCACCCATTTCATCCAATGGTTTTAAGTACTACATTGCTTTTGTTGATGCATATTCCAGACATACTTGGCTATTTTACTTCGAGATAAGGGTCAAGCACTGCACTGCTTTCAGTTGTTCAAACAACATGTTCATACACATTTTGGGGCTAACATACTTGTTGTTCAGAGTGATTGGGGCGGGGAGTATCGCACATTCAGTAATCTTCTTTCTCAAGAGGGTATTCAACATTGGCTTACTTGTCCTCACACTTCCCAATAAAATGGTGTTGTTGAAAGGAAACACCTTCATGTCATTGAAATGACACTTACCTTGTTAGTTTGCGCTTCCTTGCCAATGAAGTTTTGGTCCTATGCTACTATCATTGCTGCTACTTGATCAATCGACTTCCAACTAAAGTCCTTCATGGTGTATCTCCATTTGAACGTTTTTTCAGGAAGAAGCCTGAATATGTTCACATAAGAGTATTTGGTTTTCGTTGTTTTCCATATATTCGGGCATTTCACTCTACCAAACTTGATTTCAGGTCTGAACCATGCATTTTTCTAGGATATAGTCCTTAGCATCAAGGCTATCAATGCTTGGCAAAAGATGGTATGATGTATATTTCTCGACATGTAAATTTTGATGAATGTGTGTTTCCATATGCGGATGTTGAAATGAGAGGTGTTGCATCACAGAATCCTTCAAGTTCGAGCAGGTCATTTTTAGTTATTCCCGGTGTTGATCGTCTTGGAAAATCACATATTTCATCTTCCTCTGTATATCAATCTCAAAATAGCCCTACTACATCTAGTCAAAGTAACATTGCTCTATAACTGATACATCATGTCCTGTTGAAGATGAGAATATTAACTCTCACATTGTCTTGGCTTTTGATCCATCTAATTCACAACATATTCAAAATTCTCATTCGATGATAACACGCATCAAGACGGGAATTTTTAAACCAAAGGTGTTTTTCTCTACACCTGGCCATATTAATTCTGCCAATGAACCAATCTCAATTTATCAAGCTTTGCAGTCAGATGAATGGAAGCAAGTTGTACTTGATGAGTATAATGCATTGGTTCGAAACAACACTTGGACACTTGAACCATTACCTTCTAGTCGATCTGGTGTAGGTTGTAAGCTTATATTTAAAACCAAACAAAATGTGGATGGAACGATAGCTCGACACAAAGCTCGATTAGTAGCTAAAGGTTTTTCCCAAACACCTGGATGCGATTTTGATAACACCTTCACCCAGTGGTCAAAACTTCTACAATTGATTTGATTTTTTCTATTGCTACTGCTCATGGATGGCCTCTGCGACATGTATATATCAATAACGCATTTTAAACTGTGATCTTAGTAATGAGGTGTTTATGACTCAACCTCTTGGCTTTGAACAACAGGGTGCTAATGGAGAAGTATTAGTTTTTTGTTTGCAAAAGGCCTTATATAGCCTAAAGTAAGCTCCTCGTATGTGGTATGGAACACTGCGTCGGGTTCTTCTTGATCTACACTTTCAAGAGTCAGCTGCTGATGCTTCATTATTTGTTCAATGTATGAAAGGAAGTCGAGTGTTCATGCTTGTTTATGTTGATGACATTATCATCATTGGGGATTCATCTACTGTTATTGAAACAGTTATTCAACAACTATGTAAGAAATTATCGCTTAAAGATCTTGGTTCTCTAAGTTATTTTCTGGGGATTGAAGTTACAAGATATAGTAATAAGCTTCTTTTCAAATAACAAAAGTTTATCAAGGAACTTCTTGTGAGATCAAACATGACTGGAGCTAAGGCAGTTCCTACTCCAATGATTTTGTCATCAAAACATAAGAAGGATGCAGACAGATCTCTTAGTGATGGTTCGCAGTTTGGAGTATTGTTGGTGGCTTAATGTACCTCTCACACTAGGCCAGACATTGCATTCAGTGTACATCGTGTAAGAGAGTATATGCATAATCCATGTGAAGAATACTGGATAATTGTCAAATGAATACTTCGGTATTTGGTTGGGACAACTCACTATGGTATTGAATTCCATGTTAACAGTTTAACAAGTGACATTGTTGCCTTTGCTGATACTGATTATGCAAGCAATCCAGATGACCACAGATCGATATCAGGCCAGTGTGTACTTCTTGGAAAAAATCTAGTTTCATGGAGTTCAAAGAAACAAAAAATTGTGGCTCGTTCTAAAACAAAATTAGAATATCGAAGTATTGCTAATACAATTGCTGAAGTGGTTTGGATTCAATCATTGCTACGAGACAAGGGTGAAAAGCAAGGAGAAGTTCCTATTATATAGAGTGATAACACTAGTGCAGTGGTGATAAACGTCAACCCTGTATTTCATGCTAAATCAAAACATGTAGAACTAGATATGTGTTTTGTGCGAGAGAAGGTAGCAAATAAGGAACTAAAGGGTTGTTTGTTTACTTCAGAATGATTAAGCGCTGAATGATTCAAATGCTGAATGATTCAAAGGTAGCTCTGAATGTGGCATGTTGTTTAATAATGGCTCTGAATCATTCAGAATGTACTTCTGTATTGAAGTTTTGTTGAATCAATCAACACTGAATCATTCAGAAGTGCGAAACAAACGCGTTGAATGTTGAACGGTTCAACATTCAGCGCTGAATGGTTCCATTAAGAGGCAAACAAATAGCCCCTAAGTGTAAATTATGTTCCTGCGTGACATCAACTTGCTGATGGGTTGACAAAACCATTATCAAATTCA